AAAAAGTAATGTTAATTATTCTCAAATTTGTTGCTAATTGCTTATCCTAATTGAAAATTATATATCTTACTAGCTTACAAAGTACATTGTCAAGAATGGGTGTTTGTAAAACTTACTGCCGGTAAAAATTTCGTAGCGAAATCATGCACGCGATGTGGAAGCCTCGAAAGTTCAAGTACATTTACCTTTTGGCCACACTCTACGTTTTTACTTTAACTTTGCCATCTGCCTCTGCTGTGTATTGGGCGTACGGAGACAAACTTCTCACTCATGCTAATGCTTTCTCTCTCCTCCCGAGGACTAGATGGCGTGATACCGCCGTTGTTCTCATGCTCATCCACCAGGTGATCGATTCTCCTTTCTAAAAATTTTAATTCCCACATTTTTTGTTCCTCATCATGCTCGACTATTTTGCGCTAGTGGTCAATCATCAATGTTCATGCTACGAACTTTGTTCTTTTCGTGCATTTTGTGTCGCTAATATAATTCTCAATAGTGTATGTTGAAATTTGATCACTCGAAGAGACATTAAATGGTTACCGACAAAATCGACTTCCTCGTACATTTTAGACATTTTTTTTTTTTTTACTTTTGTTTACTTCTTATTCGCTTATTTGTCATCGTGCATTCGTGCTCGACAACTTTTCTTCACAATAGTCTTGCTTGATTATTTACCGAGAACGGATAATTACGATGCTTTTTAATGAACTAACGCGGATTATAAACTTCAGTTTATCACGTTTGGATTTGCGTGCACGCCTTTGTACTTCGTGTGGGAAAAAGTGATTGGGATGCACGACACAAAAAGCATGTACCTAAGGGCGCTCGCTAGGCTGCCGGTGGTGATACCGATTTGGTTCTTGGCCATAATTTTCCCCTTCTTCGGACCAATCAACTCGGCGGTTGGGGCGCTTCTAGTGAGTTTCACCGTCTACATTATTCCGTCCCTCGCTCATATGCTTACTTTTCGGAAAGCTTCTGCTCGTCGGGTAAGATTCTTTTTCTGGAAAAATCTAAATTTATCGATATTTTACCTAATAACCGGACCGCGCTGAAATGCACGATCTGGCTTGGTTTCCAGTTTTGTACATTTTTAGTTTTTTATGAATTTGGTGCGGTTCAGTGCAAAACAACACCGTACAAAAAAAGGACTGAAAATCGATTTTGTGAAAAAAAATCAAAAAGATAAAATAGAACCAAATATTTTTCACACTAAAAAAGCCGAACCGAACAGTACGAAATTTCATATTCCATATATCACTCCTGTTCGGTTTGGTTTTAATGACCCCTACTTATATGGTAAGCTTGGGGAAGGAGAAATATTAGAATTAGCTCATATAATATTTCTTGTAATTTTATCTTGAGTATTTATGTGTTTAAATTAATTTTATTTTATTAATCAATTATATTTTGACATTTTTTTTTTAAATTTTAATGGGGATTAAATTAATTTCAGAATGCTGCTGAGAAGCCGCCATTCTTCATGCCAAGCTGGACAGCCATGTACGCGGTCAACGCCTTCGTGGTAGTATGGGTCTTGGTAATCGGGTTCGGGTTTGGGGGTTGGGCCAGCGTCACCAACTTTGTGAAGCAAGTGGACTCATTTGGGCTTTTTGCTAGGTGCTACCAGTGTAAACCTCCACCGCAGGCCCATCCAGCTACACCAACCCATTAATGAGATTGGGTTTAACAAAGGTATGAGTCAAA